GACTCATGAATCTCTAACCAGAATAATCACTGTGAAAAAAAAATCACTAATAACACTTGATTGTTGATATGTGCTGCTGATTATCCATGCTGCTGATTTATTTCCCACTGCTGTGTTTATTAGTACTCATCTGCTCACACAGACTCATGTTCGTGCTGCTGTTGTTCAGCGTATTGCGTTTGTACTACTAGTGCTTTGTGTATTTCTTAGTTCATATCTTAGATATTACTGTTTTTATACTTTTGTTGGATGTAACTGGGACCCTGTCTACACAATTTAATTCCACCTCATGTACCGCATGTGGTGCGAATGACAATAAAGAAACTGACTATGGACCAGTGCCACAGCATGATGCCACCATCACCATGCTTGACAGTCAATTAAATTTTGTTAGTTAAATAAAAAGCATACTTTTCTAGATGAGGTGATTATGACTGTTCATGGTCTGTCCTGAGCCTCGACAAATACACGCATCGTTACACCCATATTAAAAAAAAAGAAGAAAATGACTTTTGTAGTAAATTAAAAAGACATCACAACTAATCTAAACAGCAATCAACTTTACCTTTTATTGTTTATAAAGCATTTTGATCAGGTGCGATGGTCACTGATTAAAATTCCTTTGGCTCAAATTAAACAGCAGCTCTGGATATTGATTAGAAACACTGCTCTTAAAAATGTTTGGAGGAAAAATAATAATAAAAAGATTGTTGGCACCCACAGGGTAAACTGTAAATTAAATTAAACTTTGGGAAAGCGCACTACATTTTAACAACCAAGATACTAATGCTAAATAAAATGTCAAACTTTGTTCAGCCAACCTGATGCTCAAGATCTCTGCAGCGCCGGCTCAGGTCCTCATTCTCACCCGCTTCCTCACTCAGAAAATAATACTTCCTGGACTGTGGAAACACATAACAAGGACATGTTGCTGTTTATAGTGTCTGAGGAAATAAAGGTTAAAGATGTGCAAGTGAAGGAGAATGAAACTGTGGGCTTCACCTGGTAGTCAAAGTCTCCATACGTCTCTGGACTCCCAGGTTCACATGAAGGGTCTTTGGTTAAGAGCTTAAAAATAAATTAAAAAGACAAGAATGCAACAACAATTGTGGGATTAAATACAATAAACAAAAAGGGAACCTAGCTGACAGAAGCAAGTTTTGATTTTCTGAATATTCTCCCCAAAATTAACTTTTTATTAAATCTACTCCTGATCTGCACGAGCTCTTAATGAAAACTGAACATTATTCAAATGGAATGACTTTAGTTGAGATTTATTTTTATTTTGGGGTGGGGGGTTAAAAGCTGCATTAATACATTAAAAAAAAAGATCCAAGAGGAAAAGCGGGGAAGCTCACTCACCTCCTGAATGGCTGTCATCACAACGTGCTGGACAGACTCTTCAAGTGTCAGAATCTGCTGGATTTGTTCTGGATTAGAGATTAAAACAAAAACAGTTCGTGTTCAGCCAAATACAGATTAACAGTGACTCCTCCTGAAAACAAACAAACATGATTTTAACATCTAAAACCAGAGCATAGAGTTCAGTAAAGAGAAATATATAGTTCATAAAGTGTGCACAAACCCTCACTTTAAAACAGACAATATCTTACCTGTTGCAGGTGTTATTTAATCAAAGAAACAGTTTAATTCTGACAGAACTGACAGACTAAAGGCCGTCCACATGAGGCCAGAATCAAAATGGATTGCAGACAGTGAAAACAAATAATTTCCATATTTAGCAGCGGTAACAATTTCTACAGCTTTTTAATGAGTTTAATTTTACATTTCACGATCATCCCTAAATGAACGTTAAGCTTCATTGTTTAAACAAACAGCAGCTGACGGAACTGATGAATCCTGGGGGACTTCTGGCAGGAACTTCATACTAAACCTAACATAAAGCAAGAAATGCACAATTAACAGCACAAAGCTTTAGAAAACAGCTTTTGCATTTAACACTAATAAACTTTGAACGTTGATTTGAAAGGAAATGTTTTATACGTTCTATAAAACTGAATTAATCCCAATTATTTATTATTAGCCAAAACTAAAGCTATAATTTCAATATTAACAGCGATTTTGCAGTACACAATTATTTTGGCTGAAATATGAAATTCCTCCTACAATGCCCCCTGGCTGCAGTGAAACAGCTAGCTGCTGCCGCCATTTGCACTCGTTAATAACAGACTCCTGTGTAAATAACTGCACAGTGAGAATACGGCAGCGGTGTCAAGGTTTATAAAAACTGTTCACATGAAATGAAACTTTGGAGACCGACGTTGTCTTAAGATGTCAGTAGTCCACTTTGATCTTAGGCTAGTTTGTAGCTTTAGCTCATTTGGATGTTCATAGAGCTAAATACATCAGGTAAGATTATTGATCAGACCCCACTTTAAATAGCTGAACACTTCCTTTAAAGTGATGGTGCAAAATCAAAGCCCTGATCCGTTTAAACTCCTTAATTATAATCTGTA